TCAGGCATTATTAGTGGAAATGCACTTAGAAATGGTTAAGATGGTGAACTGATATAAAAAAATAATTAAAAATGGTTACAATGATAAATTTTATGTTATTTATATTTTGTTGTTTGTATTTACCCTCCCGTCCCTCTCTCAAAAAGAGCTCCAAAGGCAGAGATGCTGTGCTTCTTTAGTTGAGAAACACTGTTCTAGCTAAAAAGGACAAAGGAAACAAATAATGTTAATATATAGTTATTTGTGTCTAAGGACACCCAAATATCTAGGGTGGGAAAAAAGTAGATAATCAAGTAAACAGCCTGCTTGTTCATTGCACTTGTTAGTCAACAACAAAAATAATGCCTGATATATTACGCTTTTCTAAACTATCCCAACTGATGAGAGATTTTTACCTCAAAATGATAATTAAGAAAACATACAAGAGAGTTAAGAAGAAAAAGAAACTATTAACGTTTGATAAAGCGTGACCAAAAAAAAAAAAAAATCATAAACCTACAAATTCTAGCACAAGTTGTTTGGAAAGGTAATCCCCGAAGAGCTATTCATAAATGCTCTACAAAAACTTTTCTACATATCAGGGTAGGAGTGGTCTCACATAGTTTTCAGATCCCATCTAATGTCAGGTAATGTTTTAATCTCAATTTATCCAAAGCTAAATTTTTCTTCAATGTAAATCTACCATTAAAAGACTTTCACAAATTAATGACTCCTGGTTTCAAGGAATAAAAATATTAAAATACTGAAGAATGAGTTTCTATTCCAAAAGCTTATTTAGATACAAATCTCTCTGATGTTCCTGATTCAGGAAAATCAGAAAACATATAAATACTGACAGTGACTCTAAGCAATTCCAAATCTGCTAAAATAGTAATTTAGCTTTAATTTGTATCTTGTATATTAAAACTTGGGCTGAAAGTGATAAAGATGGTCGATTTAAGAGTTTTAATGGAGCACAAAATAAGAAAGAAAAAGCAGAGGAAGATTAGGGCAGGGGCTAAAAGGTAGGTGTTAGGTGAGTAAGGAGCCACCACTCAGAGTCCAGGTGAGCTGTTTAGAGCCAGTGAATAAGACTGGTTACAGGTATGTAGCCCCTAAAGCACATTTAGGATTTTGATAAAATGCAGGCAGAGACAGGCCTCATATACAGGCTGTATGTATCATCCATGTATATAAACTGTATGTATAATCCAGAAATTTTTTCAGAAAAAGAAATTCAAACGTAGAAGTTGGATGGAACAGGACAGGTTGGGATGGGATCAGGGTAGGACCTGAACCTGGCCATAAGGAATGTGAAGGTAGTACGGGTGAGGCGGGAGAGGACAGAGATATGGAGGAATAGAAAGTAGAGATTAAGAGCCCCAGTCCCAGTGGAAATAAACACAGAAGTCAAAATATGAGTTTGCAGACTGTGAAGGCCCCGACAAATAAAAGTGGAACAGATCGTGGCCAGATCGGACTGGAAGACAGGCAAGAGAATTCAGACAATAGCAGGTTGGACGTGGCACAGAACACCTACAGCAAGCTGCTAATCTGAGCAACTGAGGTAGATCTGCCTTTCTGGGAGTCCAGCCGAGCCCACGAGAGCCCAGGGTATGGACATCCTCGCCAAGGATGTTCTTCACCTGAAGTCTGCAGGTTCTTGTCTTTTCTGTAGCAATCTTGCTAAGGGTTTGGTATAACCTGTTTTTCCCTTTCATTTCCTTAATCACTTCAACAGGGTGCTAATCTCTAATGAGCATTGAGGGAACAATGATACTGGCTGTTTGAGCTACTGTAGCTGCAGGCATCCTGCAACATGAGACGGCAGCAAGTGCAGATTTGTAGCTACTGTTTCTTTCCTTTGGGGGGAAAAAAGGACAAATAGTTCTGGTGAGTTAGGCTAGGGTGGAGGAGTGATGAAATTACAGAAGACAGAGTTCTTACCACAGCAGATATTTAATCTAGAATGTGAATATATGAGTGTATGTCCTGCCTGACTACAGAAAAAACTGAAGGCAACTGAAATGTATAGTAGACTGCCATGTGGTTCAGACATGACTGCTTGTAACAGAGAATCGTAATCACAGAAACTGGAATTCTACAAGGTGAAAAGTGGAGCAAGGTAACGATTGCAATGGCCTCTGTGGCTCCCGGTTCCTGGATTCCACCTGCCTTCCCCAAGCCAAAGAAAGGGCCTGGAACCTGCACTAGTGCACTGTAAGTTCTCTGCATTGCTCTCCATCTCTATTCTCTACCGCACAGACTCTATCTTCATTATAAATAATGCACCTTGTCTCCACTCCAAGAGCTGGATGCTTGTCTGATGTCCTGTATCTGAATTCCTTTATGGATCATCTCTTCTCCTCCCTCTGACACTGGAGCCCTGCTGTGCTCTATCTTCTGTGTTGATCCAGTCTTCCTGAAGATTGCCCACTCCCAGACCTGCAGACACTGAGTTTTGCTGTTCTATCTCATGCTGGACCTTTCAGAATAAACTACCTTCTGAATATCCCACCCCTGACCAGCTGCCCCATCCCATCTCCTCTGCCTGTTTGCCTGTGGCTGGATCTACTTCTGATGAGTTCCCAGCTCAACCGATGTGTCTCATCTCTTGTTTGGACCTTTCCTCTCTGTCTACACGCCACCCCCCACCTCAAAAAAGCCCAAAATCAAAACCCAAAAAACCCTTGACCAGTCAACCCTGTCAAAATATAATACATAGCACTCGATATTCAATATTCCTAGTCAGGAAAAATATCATTTTCCAACTACCAATCATTTTTTACTTTCCAAAGCTGCAGTAAAAGATTTTAAAATCTTTTTAAAAGATTTAAAAAGAGCCAATTTAGTTTTTTATCATGTTGACAAATTGTTATGAAATTCATGAGTCTTGGAATAACTGGCCTTTCTGAGAATTGTAGGAAGGGAATCTTAATAAAGTAGAAGAAAAAGGAATGGAAGACAAAAAGACCACAGAAATATAAGTACATTTAAAACATTTAGGCACTCATTTGCTCTTACTAGAGGTAGTGCAAAAATGCACTAATTTATAAATTAAACTGTCAGTGGACATGTTATGTTTTTAGTTCAAAAATCTGGAAGAACTTTAATTATAGTTAACAATCCTGTATTTTTTCTTCCACTTAAATTCTGTGCATTAGAATAACCCAGGAAGAGTTAATCTCAAAGCAGCCATGCAAATAATTTGAAAACAAAACAAAACAAAACAAATAGATTCTCCCTACTTCTTGTCAATGAGATAATTAAAAAGAAGTTAAATTAACTTGTACCAATTTACTTCTTACATAATTTCTAAGACTACCATGTAGTGTTATTCAGAAAAAGAAACTATATTTGAGATTTTAATTTCAGGACAAATAATAATTATTTTTTTTCATTTATGAAATAGCTCCACTTATTTAAAATTTCCAAAGGAGTGCCTGCTGGTAACTTCCTTTTTCTGGAAATTTACCTCTCCTGTACGTGTGGGTTAGTAGGCATATTCATTGTTTTTTACTACTTCCATAAGATTTTAGTTTTTATGACTCAAATAGCTTCTACCAAGTGTTATAGTACAGAATTTCTTTTTCAAGACACACTTAGTTTAAACAATTTAAAAAATCATATTAGAAAACACAATTATGTGTCTCTTAAGGTCTTAAGACTTATAAACCCTTTTTTCTCCAACAGTTTTTTAAAATTGTTAAAAAGACACAATTCAGTACCATGTAAAACATAGACTAATATTACCTAGAGGAATAAAAATAAGACAGAGGTGGGGGACCGGGGTGGCTCAGTGGGTTGAGCCTCTGCCTTCAGCTCAGGTCATGATCTCAGGGTCCTGGATGGAGCCCCACATTGGTCTCTCTGCTCAGCGGGGAGCCTGCTTCCCCCCTCTCTCTGCCTGCTGCTCTTCCTACTTGTGTTCTCTCTCTGTGTCAAATAAATAAATAAAATCTTTAAAAAAAAAATAAGACAGAGGACAGTTCTCATTTGCTGGCATGATCTGGTGCTGTAGTCTTCTGTACCATGTAAAACTTAATTTCCGTTAATATAGGATAACCACTTGTTTGATATTTCTGTGTGTATTTACATAATGAATACCAGAGTCACCATGTACTTGGCAACAACATCCTCATGTGTTTATAGTAGCTGTATAGTTGAGGTAGCCTACAAACCAAAATATGCTGATTTGGTTGGCAGGAAACCAAAGTGAATCAACTGGACCACCATGTTGTCTCAGACTAAAACCTCAGATGTTCTCTCTTTTGCCACAGTGTGATTATGCAATATGCTTTGAGTTGCTGAAGGGCGGAACAGTACTGAAAAGCAGTTACTTGGCTAAGACTAAAGTCTTATGACACATTTCTGAACTATTGTTGGTTGAATTAAAGCCTAACTCTAACTCTGGGACTATCATAACATATCAGATTTAGAAATAAACAAACTATGTATCTCAAATCCTGACATCTTTTAAAGAAAATAGATTTCCAAAATTGCAGAAAGAGTTTTAACATCTACTTTGAATTCTGTAAACTCACCTGTTTTAATAGTTGTTTTTCTGGCTTCATAAGCTTTAGAAAATAACCCTACACTCCACAAACTTGCTGAATACTCAGTTTCACAATCCACTACTGTATAGAAAATGATCTAACATAGTTGAAGCTTTGTGCTCACACCCCTCCCCCACCTTCATCTATGCATGGAACAGAAGTTTTTAAGATGTAGGTAACAGCATAATCATTAGGCAATTTCTGAAATTAAAATAGGTACCTTGACATTTCTGAATTTAAAATAAAATCTTATTGTAATCTTTTTAGCTCTACTAAATTTAAGATTTCTTAAACCAAAGAGAAGAAAAACACTGCATAAGGAATATTATAAAGGGTTCCAATAAGCTTAGTTTGGCCACAGTGTAGAATACTCTATTGAAAAGAATTAAAATGGGCAAATAAACGCAAAGAAGCCCTACCCCTCTTTCATTCCCTGTAATAGAACAACAAAAATCAAATAAATACCTCAAATAGAAAGGTGACATAGGTCTTTCATCTTCCTGTGAACTAAAAGGAAAATAAATTTTGTATTAATTTCTCTTAATATTTTAACATATCAATTTTACTAAAACTCTATTCTTCCTGTCAGAAATTCTATTTTGACACATGAGAGCTAATCTCACAATGGAGTAAAGTTAGTAAAACATCCTTTACCTTGGACCTAGCCAAGGTCAATTACTTCTTCATGGGAGACCATCAAGAGAGGTTTCTCTCAAGATTAGCCTCAGGCAAAAGTCAGTCATATCACTTTTTCAAAAGGAAGCTTTTTACTACCTTATTTCTACAGGCCCCATCCAAGTTCCACACATTATACATAAATCCTTAAAATGATTGCATACTCAATTATCTCAATAAAGTTAATTATAGCTCATTACCATGATGATGAAAGTAAGAAACAGACAACAAAATATTCCTGTTAAGGGTGAACCACTTCAGGAATGAGGCCCTAGCAATGAAAGACGCATCAGCAAACACTGGCTCGGTGTCTTCTGTAGTTACTCTAAGTATTAACGAGTATGGATAACGTGTAAGGACATAACTGAAATTATATAACTAGTTTACAGTCTTCAATCAACACAATAGTGTACATTCTTCAAACACAACAATATGAAGCTTAATATAAAAGTATTTTTAAAAATGTAAGATATATACAATACTTTTTCCCTTAACATATGTTTTTCTTCTGATAAATGACTTCAAAGCAAAGAATCAGTCTCTTTCCCTTAGTGTCTGCTGGAGTGATCACACAGTCATAAAATTTACTTTCAAACAGCACTCCCCTCAATATATGACTAAGTATCTATTTCTACTAATTACGTACATCATTAAAGAGATAAAAGTAGAAAAATAAACTATTAGATAAAGGCAAAAAGAAGACCTAGTATTTCTTCTTATAGCCATGGTTAATCTTATACACCACCTGGGGTGTCCACGACCTTTGGGGAAGCAACTAGGTAACTTCGGTTTTCCCTCTCTTGGCTTATTTTTTATTTTCTAAAGGATCACTGAGGAAAAGAGGAAAGTTTGCTTCCATTGGTAATATTATCCTGGCAAAATCTCACTACACAGTTATATTGTAAAACACATACACACAAACACACCTGTCCAAGAAGTTGAAAAGGTCTTAACATTTTAGTTGGAAAATGGCACATAAATTATGACACACTATTTTTCATTCTTGCCTGATTTTGGTTTCCAGTTTCATTATAGCTTAGCTGTTCTAATGTTCATGTTGCCAAAGACTTCAACGCTTGTAACCAGTTGTGCCAATTCTTCCAAAGTGGTGGGTAAACGATGGATCAGCTTTGTTATTGCCTCAAATGTGGGGGGACTGAGGACACAGCTGAAGAGTCAGGTTGCACAGCTGAAGCTTTAGAGGTGACATTTGGGAAATGTCCACTGGGAGCAGGGCTATTACAGGAGGGGAACTCTTTAAGCAAAACTGGTACAAGGAGCTTACACAGTGGTTTCAAAAAATTCCTTGAGAACACTGCACAAAACAAACTATAAAAAATGTTGGGAGTTGGCTTTCCTAATCAAGGATTCACTGTCAAAAAGTACTAATTATGACCAACAGTATGCAAAAAGGCTGCAACTAAAAACTTCTAACGGTTTTATTATTATAGGAACATTGCCTCCATGTGTTATAAAAGGGGCAGTGTACTAAACATTTTTATGCCCACAACAGATCCTTAACTCTAACATGCAACATTTTAATGAAATTTAACAAGGGTACTTTAGTGAAGATTCAATTAGCAATATGGTTGGTTTCCTTGGAACTTAGAAGTGCTTTTGGGAGAAGATTTAGATGGTGCAGAGTTCTAAACACAGCTGTTGGTATGTTTTGGCTAATGTTTATTTTGTGTACATGTGCTAAATTTCTTTGTAGCAAACAGAGGCAATCAAAATCAATCCTTTTTTCTCTAACATCTTTTCTTCCTCACACATGTACTCATTAGCCAGGTGCTACTTACTGGGTGTTCCAACATTAATTAACTTGTATAAATCCTTATCAAAACCCCTCCTGGTACTTGTTCCTCAACTCAAGGTAAGTAAGCTCAGAGGGGGTACCTAACAGGTGCAGGTCACAAAGCCAGTGATGTGTGAGTTATTGTATTACAAGTTAGTCCATTTCTGTTATTTACCATCTTCCCTTCAGTCTTAAGCTATCAGAATATGGGGGGGAGGTGAATAGGTGAAGAAAATCGATGTGATGGCCAGTCTTCATGGCAGCAGCCCTTAGCAAGATCTCGTGGAGTTTACATCCCCCATATCATGCTTCTGATTATAATGACTCTTCACCAAACTTAGTCCATTCACGATATATGATGATGGGCAGCATGTGTAAAGTGCCTGTTTCATTAAAATGTACTGGCCGTATAAGAGTATCTCCTGATAGAAACCTAAGTTTTTAATCTTAAGCAAGTATTTTTCAGGCTGTATCTGCCTGAAAACAAGGTAAAGTTGTCAATGAAAGATGAAATCAGAAATTCTTAATTTGGGTATGTCCCTGCAGTTTGACTAATTTTACATGTTCCCAAAAAGAAAGTGTAAATACTGCAATTTACATAAAACAAAACAGACTCAGTAGTAGATTTACTCAAATCAGCAGCAGTCAACAGGGCACCGACCCATGCACAGTACTCAAGAAGAACAATAGAATTCAAAAAAGAAAAAGAAAATAAATCAATTTTGATAGTTAATTTGCATATTTCTCCTTTTCCTTTTCATCAAAGTACCCTTTCCATGGGTTTTTGTAACTTGACAAGGGTATAAATTCTGAAACAAAACTGAAGCACTGACTTCAAATTAAGTCAACTAATTCTAAAAATCAATTTAAGGCACTGATTTATTTTTTAATCATTTATTTTTTAAAAAGATTTTTATTTATTTATTTATTTATTTGACAGAGAAAGACAGTGAGAGAGGGAATACAAGCAGGGGGAGTGGAAGAGGGAGAAGCAGGCTTCCTGTTGAGCAGGGAGCCAGATGTGAGGCTAGATCCCAGGACCCTAGGATCATGACCTGAGTGAGCCAAAGGCAAACGTGTAATGATGGAGCCACCTAGATGCGGCTCCCCAAACGCACTGATTTTAAAGGCAATTTTAAGAAGAAATGGCTAAGGTCAATTCTTCCAAATAGAACTGAGAAATGAACTTTTCCACAAAATTTACATTTAGAAAAAAGTCACCATTTCTACATTTGTACAAAATGGATATTTTACTATTGTTATAGGCCCCCACGTATATATTTATAGAAGTTAGGTATTCCTGTTCCTGGATTTATGTTAATTTAATGGCACGTGCAATGATATTAAATTAGTCACAATTTTTGGCCTAAATTTTAAATTGAGAATTCTGACCCATTTTTAATTTTTTAAAATAAGCACAAATACTGTGAATGAAAAAGCGAGTGTGTGTCATGAAATTAAGTCAATGACAAACTCTACTAACTTGGAATACATTCAATTTCCTCCTTGGTTTTTAGTATAAACCCCAGGTTTTAATTATTTCCTGTTTGCTAACTCTGAATAATGGCCAAATTTAAGCAGCCAATCAGTTTATCTTTTTTTTCCCTCTTTTTAAAAATTTGAACATACACTGAGAGATTTGGGCAGGCACTTTGTGCATGTCAGGCAATCATTATCAGGAGCTTAACATCTTCAGGCATGTGGTCATATATGCTCTCAAAACAATGGCCTCTGGGAAGAGCATTTATCAAATAGACCCAAGTAACAGTCCAAATCTAGGAAGCTACAATTGAGAAGGGCAGCAGCAGATACCATGTTTTTAGTGGGGTCCTAATAGAATTTATTTATAGGGCTTAATACTGGAAAATGCATAGAAATGAATCACACCTAGACTTAGTTTCTTCATGAGTTGCACTAACTTCTAACCGGAAGACACGGGATATAATGCTAATCAATTTAATTACACAGTAAGCTAATGGATATCACAAAATGTGTAGCGCTTTCTATGTCTGAGAAAAAACAAATACTGTTGGGACAATCCTAAGAGTGTGGTATTCAGAAGGGACCTTCCACAGCTGGATCAAATCACCATTCCATCCAATTCCCTTTTGAACTGTTCTGATAAATGTTCCAATGAGTCCAATGTTCTAATTGGTCATTGTGGCTGGCTACCAGAAAAAGAAAAAAAATGAACATCATCTGCATATTTAGTTACACAGTTTGAATTTTCAAGTTATTTGAGCTAGAAGAAGTAGTTTGCAAGTGCTCCTTGAGTACTGAGGAGAATTAAAAAAAAAAAAATCAGGTAAATGCTAAGGATTAGGTTCCATTCATGGAAGAAACTAGGAAAAACCATCCGTGGGGGGCTAACACAAAACAAAGAGCAAAAAAGTGAGGGAGCAAAAGGATACAATTAAAAGTATTAAGTAAGCATTTTTTTCCCCTGGAATTCAAGGTTTTTCTTCATATTGAGAATTTTCTAGAGAATGATGAGGTGAGTGAAATTAGCACATTTCCTTCCCTTCCTTCCTTTCTCTGCAAAGCCTCAAGTGCCACACTTCCTTGAGAGCTTTTAATTTATGCCCAATCCCAGACATGAACCATGGACCACTCCAGCAGGGGAGTGATGTAGCAGCTGGTGTGCTTAGAGTTTTGGTTTGGCCCCATTTAGGGATATAGAAAAGAAAAACAATCTCCCTGTTCTTCTTGGGAAACAACTGTAAATGCTTTCAGGTTGGTTTATAGCTAAGTGTTTGCAGCTATAATTCTGAGAGGTATTTCTGTAGATATAGGATACTGTATTATAAGTTTTGTTTAGTTGTATTATTTGCATGCTATGACTAAGAACACAACACTTCTCCAGTAGAAATAAAAACAAATTATTGAAGCTTAAGAGCAAATCAGTTTGCCTGACCAAAGGGTTAATGCAAAGAGCTGAAGCTGTTGATAGTCACAGGACATGAATTTTTAGCCAACACTAAGAGCTATTATTTTTGAGGCAAAATAAACAGACCAAACAAAAAGACTTGCAAAATTG